CTCTCTAAATAGAATAAAACCAGTGATTTTTCAATCTATTAGGTACTTAGCATGTTAGTTGTATACGCATGAAACGTGCAACCATACGAGATAGCGGTTATCGGATTTATATATGTATGTGTGTCTGTGTGTGTGTGTGTGTGTGTGTGTAGCATTAAAACTATGACTGAAGTAAAACTTAGTTAATTAACAAGGATCACGTACATTTATTTTTATTATATCTTTTAATCATTATCACAATTGTGTAAGAGTACATGCTTTGCCATTATATCGTTTACAACATATTCATGAAAATTAATCATGCAGTATTCCGAATGGCATAGTAAATGTTTTAAAACGATTGTTAAGATTATTTGGAATCTTAATTTATCATTGAACGTAAGCATTGTTCTATACCATCGGTTTAGTTTTCGTTACTACTCAGCCGCAGTTACGCTTGTCTTACGCGAACGTTCTACCAAAACGCTTTGTTTTGAATCCGCGGATACATAGCCAGGGATCCGAGTGACTACCTTGGATGACGCTTAGACGCCGTATCCGTGTTAAAACCCATATTTCACGTACATTATATCTCAGAGTACTATGTGTTACAGCCTTTCAGACCACCTACCATGAGGTACGGAGAACTATGTAGCTACTTCATAACATCTGATGTCTTAGAAGATATACTTATGTTGTATCCTAAATTTGGAATGTAGTATCACATGACTGCATATCAAATGTATTAAAGCTTTTCCACGCCCAAGCTATACGCCGGCGTGGCAGATGAGTAGATAAAGGACTGTGCAATTGTTCATTTCCTTGAATTGATAAAGTACTTATCATAACAATGTTTTAGGATAATATTATTATGGTGCACAGTATATACATCATGTACGTTTCCTCTTCACCAAACTCATATCATTACATGATATGAGCTGAATACCTGTACACATGAGTAGAAGTGAAATGCTCTCAATCTTATATCAAATCAACCCTTGGTCAGGCAATCAGTATATCAGCTGAGCTGGACCCTAGCAGGGGAGGGAAACAGGTAGGTAGTGGAAGCTAGTGGACAGAAGGGCCACTTCACTGTCCTATTCATGCTCCTTGAGAGAGCTGGCCAAAAATAATGAAACAAGTAATCAATAATTTTGAAACAAAGAAGCAAAGAAAAGTTTTGTGTTTCGCTAGATAAAGGTTTTATCCTTAGGGTCCAGGGGGCAGATATTATATGGTATTATATGCTAGGTGCATATAATACCACGGGGGTCCAGGGGGAGAGCCCACTGGTTAGGCAATATATAGAACGTATTGTGCATATCCCACGATGGTCATAATTATCCTTTTATTATTGAAGACATGAAACCGCCAACATAAAACACCGTATGTTTTAGAAATAGTAATAGTAATGTTTTTATAACTGTAAAAACATTTCATTATAACTATAGTGAATATAGTTTGCTATATGACTCCATGGCTCTTCGCATGGGGTACGATGTCAATATGTTTCCTCAGTTGCACAATAACATGCATTGACATCTAAACACAAGAAGCACACATCACAGCCGCCTTTGGTAGAGTATGAAAGTCAAACCCGTTTAGAGTTTTGCTGACGACGTTATTGCTCGTCACAAACGCTGGTTGGTTGTTGAATGCGCTGCCAGGCATAAGACGAATTGGGGAAAAAACTAACACCTCATTTCAAATAATATGCTTAAGTATCAACAATAGCATAACAACACAAGGGACCAGTCAAGATTTGTCCAGAGACATTCCCATTCTTTCTCTCCCTCTTTCTCTCTTCCTCTCTCTCTCTTTCTCTCTCTCTCTTTGAATATATATGTATACAATATATGTATATATGCTTGCTTTTTTTTCTTTTTTTTCTTTTTTTTTGTTACCATGGTGGTGTTTTCGTAAAATTGTATTGGTTTTCATTCTCGCTATGGAAGAGAGAGCTTTTCTTGCTGTACCAAAGATGACTTACAATAAAAAAAAATGTGCTCACTGAAATATTGTGCTCTGCAAAAATAACTTCATTAATCAACATTACACGTTGGGGAATGCAAATGTTGATTAACATTTAGCCGGCTTTGGTAGTACAAGGAAAGTACAAACGCGTTGGATATCAGCTAGGAAAGGCGTTCAGGGTTTCAGCAATGCGTTGTGCTATTTTACTTTATCTTTTAAGCTCCAAACTTCCAAACTGAAATTCGTTACTAGAGGCCTACCCTCATTTCTATTGTACAGTACAGCCTGGTTGTGCTTATATTTTCCTACAGTAATGCATTGAATATATTTCAAGATCATTCTGTATCGAGATAATAATGAAACCATGATATTTTTCGTTTTGGAATATTTGTAAACTTTTCCTTTCAAACACAGGTGATTTTGTATATTGTGAATAGTGTATTTGGTTACTGTACATGGTTAAAAATAAATGTTTTGTCTTTGTTTCCAAACAAAAGAACATTTAATAAGGTATGAACACTCTTGAGACCCAAAGGCAAAGGGGTCAGTGGATGTATGAAATAGAACTCCTATCACGGACTTCGTACGCTACCAAAGACGGCAATAGGTGCTTGTGGTATGGACGATCACTAAAACAAATCGAAATATACTCAATTTATTGTCACTTCCGGATATTTTAGTTATTTCAAAAAAGGTTTTTTTTTCTTAAATGTGCCAAATGAAAGAAAACGTGAAAGAAAGTAAGAAAGGTAGTATATCCGCAACTCAACTCCTTGTCTAAGCCGTCTAAGGACCAGCTTAGGCTTCTATTAGCCTATTCAATGGACGGATTAACCAGCCGCCGGACAGACACCTCCGGTCGAGGTCGAAATCCAATCAAGGTATTCTGAAGAGAAGGAAACAGAACCGTTTGTTAGCATTTCCCGTAAAATATCCAACTTGCCACAAAAGATTAATCATTACAAAGTATCAGAAATAAAGAACCTCGTCATTTCTAATTGATTTAAGTTTTTAGCGCCTTATTGAAAACTGCTTGCCAGTTCTAAAAGTAACTGCTGAACACTAACGTGTAACTCTGGCGTAGACTCCGGGCCTATCAGGTCGAGCACAGCCATATCCCCACGATACAACTCCCACCAGCTTCCACTTGCCGTTTTCTTCCACCACCATTGGTCCACCAGAGTCTCCCTGTAACATTCAGATATATTGTGTAAAATATATTGAAAGGAATGTCATGTATCAAAATAGACAAGTTCAATTTGTATCTTTAAAAAGAAAGGATGAAGAATGAACATACCTGGCAGGAGTCCTTGCCTCCCTCAGGAATGCCTGCGCAGATCATATTGGCAGTGATGCTTCCACCATACTTGTTATTGCATTCATTGTTAGTCATGGTGGGTACCGTTACTTCGAACAAGGTGCCGGATGTGGATCCTCCTGTCAAATGCATTGAATGTATATATGCAAATCAATCCTTACTTTTGTTCTACTCTCACATAACTTACATACTGAAAATAAATTTGGAACAGAAATCAATACTAACCCTCTTGTTGAGCTCCCCATCCTGTGATTGTGGCATCCACATTATCATACATTTCACCAGCTGTTGGAAGGCACACAGGGGCGATTTTGTTGTCAGATGGGAACTGTATTTCTGTGGTGAGTCTGATGAGGGCAATGTCGTTGTCCAGTGTATTAGAATCATAGGACGGATGACTCACAATCTGTTGAATGTATATTACATTTGTTAATTTCACTTGTTTGATAGTTGGTTTTTCTTGAAAATATAAGTCTAGAAAAATATTTACAAATCGATTCACTTTTTTACAATGTCTGTGATAAACTGAGGACATTTCACTTACTTCAGCAATTTGCTTCCACTGAGAATTGGCATCGGTTGATGAGTACAAGTTGTGGTCTCCCACCAATACATAATCCGAGGTGCTCATGCTGTAAATATAATAGATTTTTTGTACATTTCAGAGTAGAATGTTTTTTCTTTCTTTCTTTCTTTCTTTCTCTATTAATAGCTACTTACACAGCTGCACAGTGAGCTGCAGTGACGACCCATTGGCTGGAGATGATAGAGCCGCCACAGAAGTGATAGTATCCATTGCCGTTGACAAGAGAAACCATCCAGGGATATTCGTTCACCTCCGTCTCTACTCCACCAACAATGCGGTTGGCACGGTTCACTTGTCCACATCCAGCTGTAGATGTACAAGTGATTGTCTGTATAACATAAAACACTCAAAACCACTTTCGTAAAAATAAGACATTTTGAAAATGGAATATTGCACACTTCAGAAATTGTCCATCCATCAAGTTACATCAGTCAACTTTAGTGCCTAGTGGATTTTCTGCTAATTCATCAACAAGCTAGACTGATATGTTCATATTTGCAACAAATGCCTCTGTAGATTTTTTTCTAGTAGCATGGTATTTTGTAGATTAATATAGACATTATTTTTACATACGGCAGTCAGAATCAGAAGTAGGATCAGGCGTCGGGGCATTAGTAGGAGCAGGTGCGTTCCCATCAACACAGACACCGGTTGTAGAGTCAGAAATCCATTGCAAATATTCTGATGAAAAAACAAGTCAGACAGCTATTACTCATGACGTAAGAGACATCGATATCTCATGAGAGTTATTGGACTGCATGGATTGAATGGCCAACCACAATTTACTCACGAGTAACTCTCGCATAGACTCCAGGCCTATCAGGTCGAGCACAGCCATAACCCCACGACACAACTCCCACCAGCTTCCACTTGCCGTTTTCTTCCACCACCATTGGTCCTCCAGAGTCTCCCTGTGACATTCAGATATATTGTGTAGAATATATCGAAAGGAATGGCATGCATGCAGATAACATAATTAGTATTTACATCTTAAAGAAAGGGAGAACATACCTGACAGGAGTCCTTGCCTCCCTCAGGAATGCCTGCGCAGATCATGTTGTCAGTGATGCTTCCTCCATACTTGTTATTGCATTCGGTGTTTGTCATGGTGGGTACTGTAACTTCGAACAAGGTGCCGGATGTGGAACCTCCTGTTGAATGCATATATGAGTCAATGCAAGTGGATTCTTCATTTTTCTCTATCATAACAGAAAACGTAAAGATTTATTTTAATAAAAACCTTATCAAGAACATCAGTACCCACCCTCCTGTTGAGCTCCCCATCCTGTGATTGTGGCATCCACATTATCATACATTTCACCAGCAGTTGGAAGGCACACAGGGGCGATTTTGTTGTCAGATGGGAACTGTATTTCTGTGGTGAGTCTGATGAGGGCAATGTCGTTGTCCAGTGTATTAGAATTATAGGACGGATGACTCACAATCTGTTCGAATGGATGCGTATTAGTTATTTCATTTGTTTGGTGACTTTTTGTAAATATAGATCTTAAAGAATATGCTTTTACAAATCGTGTCACTTATTTAATGTTCTGTGATGAAGTGAGGACGTTCCACTTACTTCAGCAATCTGCATCCACTGAGAATTGGCATCACTTGATGAATACAGATTGTGGTCTCCCACCAACACGTAATCCGAGGTGCTCATGCTGTAAATATAAGAGGAAAATTTAGAAAAAAAAAATGCATTTTAGGTAGAGATGAATGATTCCTCATGGATAACTACTTACACAGCTGCACAGTGAGCTGCAGTGACGACCCATTGGCTGGAGATGATAGAACCGCCACAGAAGTGATAGTATCCATTTCCGTTGACAAGAGAAACCATCCAGGGATATTCGTTCACCTCCGTCTCTACTCCACCAACAATGCGGTTGGCACGGTTCACTTGTCCACATCCAGCTGTGGATGAACAAATAATTACCTCTATAACAAGAAAGCCGCAAAACCAATTTCGTATTCCAAGTACTCTATTGAAAATGGAGTACTTGACACTTCAAAAATTGTCTGACATCAACTTTCTTAGTATCTCTTGGTTTTTTTTGTTTTTTTTAGTTCATCAAGGTTGAAGACTGATATGTCGTTTGCGTTTGTAAGGAATGTTTTATTTAGATATATTTCTTTAAGTTTTTATGTAGATAGATAGATATATATCTATTAGTATGGTACTTTGTAGATTAATACAGATTTTCTTATTTTTACGTACGGCAGTCAGAATTGGGAGCAGACGTAGGGGCAGGCGTGGGTGCAGGTGTAGGAGCAGGCGTCGGGGCATTAGTTGGAGCAGGTGTGTTCCCATCGACACAGACACCGGTTGTAGAGTCAGAAATCCATTGCAAATATTCTGACGAAAAAAATATTTATTTGTTCATACGGACAAGGCATTTTGGAAAATATATCAACATATTAATTGCAAGAACATAAATTCTCACATTCTTTTCATATATGGTGACAGACAAAAAATACTGTAATGCTTTCATTTATGAATACAGATGCATGTGTTAATGACTATAGCCCTAGACATGTATTAAAGATTCCAATCAGCACGGATGGCAAGAATGAATGTCATGTCCACTATAATATAAGTTCATTTATTGTATTTACACACTGATGGCTCTATGAGTGCTTATTCACCAAGGAATCAATTACTGCTACCTATCTCACCTACTTACCCTTTTCCTTAATTTTTGGACTGTTTCTTTTGTATCATTTCACTGTCTTTAATGTTACCAAGATTTTAATAACAATTTAATGATCAAAATATCAATAAGAATAATAACAGTATCGATATTAATACATATTTTCCCGCAGTTTTAAGGAATTGGGGAATTAGGAGTGATCACTAGGATCTACCGATGCACTCCTTGTTGACTGAGTACATGTGGAGCCATCTGTATGTAACAAAATTCAGAGTACATAAATCCGTAGTCAGTGAGTAAACAGCGTGATTCCATCTTTGCTTAACTGACCCTTGACCAAGCACAAACTTTGTTTAGATTTGAAGGCACAATTGATCCCTATACACTATGTCTTTTTTTTATGATTTTGACTATTGTTCATAATGGAAGAGAAACGACATCGATGGTATGGCAAACTGTCAGTCATAAACAGGTAACGTGCTAGTGTAGCTCACAGGTAAAATATAGTTTTCTTTCATGGAAATCTTGAGTTGCGTTGGGTTATTGAACTGTACGACTTGATTCATTAGTTAACTACAATTTACTCACGTGTAACTCTTGCATAAACTCCGGGCCTATCAGGTCGAGCACAGCCATAACCCCACGACACAACTCCCACCAGCTTCCACTTGCCGTTTTCTTCCACCACCATTGGTCCTCCAGAGTCTCCCTGTAACATTCAGATATATTGTGTAGAATATATCGAAAGGAATGGTATGCATGCAGATAACATAATTAGTATTTACATCTTAAAGAAAGGGAGAACATACCTGACAGGAGTCCTTGCCTCCCTCAGGAATGCCTGCGCAGATCATGTTGTCAGTGATGCTTCCTCCATACTTGTTATTGCATTCGGTGTTAGTCATGGTGGGCACTGTAACTTCGAACAAGGTGCCTGATGTGGAACCTCCTGTTGAATGCATATATAAGTCAATGCAAGTGGATTCTTCATTTTTCTCTATCATAAAAGAAAACGTAAAGATTTATTTTAATAAAAATCTTATCAAGAACATCAGTACCCACCCTCCTGTTGAGCTCCCCATCCTGTGATTGTGGCATCCACATTATCATACATTTCACCAGCAGTTGGAAGGCACACAGGGGCGATTTTGTTGTCAGATGGGAACTGTATTTCTGTGGTGAGTCTGATGAGGGCAATGTCGTTGTCCAGTGTATTAGAATTATAGGACGGATGGCTCACAATCTGTTCGAAGGGATGCATATTAGTTATTTATTTCATTTGTTTGGTGACTTTTTGTAAATATAGATCTAAAAGAATATGCTTTTACAAATCGTGTCACTTATTTAATGTTCTGTGATGAAGCGAGGACGTTCCACTTACTTCAGCAATCTGCATCCACTGAGAATTGGCATCACTTGATGAATACAGATTGTGGTCTCCCACCAACACGTAATCCGAGGTGCTCATGCTGTAAATATAAGAGGAAAATTTAGAAAAAAAAATGCATTTTAGGTAGAGATGAATGATTCCTCATGGATAACTACTTACACAGCTGCACAGTGAGCTGCAGTGACGACCCATTGGCTGGAGATGATAGAACCGCCACAGAAGTGATAGTATCCATTTCCGTTGACAAGAGAAACCATCCAGGGATATTCGTTCACCTCCGTCTCTACTCCACCAACAATGCGGTTGGCACGGTTCACTTGTCCACATCCAGCTGTGGATGAACAAATAATTACCTCTATAACAAGAAAGCCGCAAAACCAATTTCGTATTCCAAGTACTCTATTGAAAATGGAATACTTGACACTTCAAAAATTGTCTGACATCAACTTTCTTAGTATCTCTTGGTATTGTTTTTTTTTAGTTCATCAAGGTTGAAGACTGATATGTCGTTTGCGTTTGTAAGGAATGTTTTATTTAGATATATTTCTTTAAGTTTTTATGTAGATAGATAGATATATATCTATTAGTATGGTACTTTGTAGATTAATACAGATTTTCTTATTTTTACGTACGGCAGTCAGAATTGGGAGCAGACGTAGGGGCAGGCGTGGGTGCAGGAGTAGGAGCAGGCGTCGGGGCATTGGTTGGAGCAGGTGTGTTCCCATCGACACAGACACCGGTTGTAGAGTCAGAAATCCATTGCAAATATTCTGACGAAAAAAAATATTTATTTGTTCATACGGACAAGGAATTTTGGAAAATGAACATATTAATAGCAAGAACATAAATTCTCACATTCTTTTCATATTTGATGACAGACAAAAAATATTGTAATGCTTTCATTTATGAATACAGATGCATGTGTTAATGACTACAGCTCTAGACATGTATTAAAGATTCCAATCAGCACGGATGGCAAGAATGAATGTCATGTCCACTATAATATAAGTTCATTTATTGTATTTACACACTGATGGCTCTATGAGTGCTTATTCACCAAGGAGTCAATTACTGCTACCTATCTCTTTAATGTTACCAAGATTTTAATAACAATTTAATTATCAAAATATCAATAAGAATAATAACAGTATCGATATTAATACATATTTTCCCGCAGTTTTAAGGAATTGGGGAATTAGGAGTGATCACTAGGATCTACTGATACACTCCTTGTTGACTGAGTACATGTGGAGCCATCTGTATGTAACAAAATTCAGAGTACATAAATACGTAGTCAGTGGGTAGAGTGATTCCATCTTTGCTTAACTGACCCTTGACCAAGCACAAACTTTGTTTAGATTTGAAGGCACAATTGATCCCTATACACTATGTCTTTTAAATGACTTTGACTATTGTTCATAATGGAAGAGAAACGACATCGATGGTATGGCAAACTGTCAGTCATAAACAGGTAACATGCTAGTGTAGCTCACAGGTAAAATATAGTTTTCTTTCATGGAAACCTTGAGTTGCGTTGGGTTATTGAACTGTACGACTTGATTCATTAGTTAACTACAATTTACTCACGTGTAACTCTTGCATAAACTCCGGGCCTATCAGGTCGAGCACAGCCATAACCCCACGACACAACTCCCACCAGCTTCCACTTGCCGTTTTCTTCCACCACCATTGGTCCTCCAGAGTCTCCCTGTGACATTCAGATATATTGTGTAGAATATATCGAAAGGAATGGCATGCATGCAGATAACATAATTAGTATTTACATCTTAAAGAAAGGGAGAACATACCTGACAGGAGTCCTTGCCTCCCTCAGGAATGCCTGCGCAGATCATGTTGTCAGTGATGCTTCCTCCATACTTGTTATTGCATTCGGTGTTAGTCATGGTGGGCACTGTAACTTCGAACAAGGTGCCTGATGTGGAACCTCCTGTTGAATGCATATATGAGTCAATGCAAGTGGATTCTTCATTTTTCTCTATCATAACAGAAAACGTAAAGATTTATTTTAATAAAAACCTTATCAAGAACATCAGTACCCACCCTCCTGTTGAGCTCCCCATCCTGTGATTGTGGCATCCACATTATCATACATTTCACCAGCAGTTGGAAGGCACACAGGGGCGATTTTGTTGTCAGATGGGAACTGTATTTCTGTGGTGAGTCTGATGAGGGCAATGTCGTTGTCCAGTGTATTAGAATTATAGGACGGATGACTCACAATCTGTTCGAATGGATGCGTATTAGTTATTTATTTCATTTGTTTGGTGACTTTTTGTAAATATAGATCTTAAAGAATATGATTTACAAATCGTGTCACTTATTTAATGTTCTGTGATGAAGTGAGGACGTTCCACTTACTTCAGCAATCTGCATCCACTGAGAATTGGCATCACTTGATGAATACAGATTGTGGTCTCCCACCAACACGTAATCCGAGGTGCTCATGCTGTAAATATAAGGAAAATGTAGAAAAAAAAATGCATTCTAGGTAGAGATGAATGATTCCTCATGGATAACTACTTACACAGCTGCACAGTGAGCTGCAGTGACGACCCATTGGCTGGAGATGATAGAACCGCCACAGAAGTGATAGTATCCATTTCCGTTGACAAGAGAAACCATCCAGGGATATTCGTTCACCTCCGTCTCTACTCCACCAACAATGCGGTTGGCACGGTTCACTTGTCCACATCCAGCTGTGGATGAACAAATAATTACCTCTATAACAAGAAAGCCGCAAAACCAATTTCGTATTCCAAGTACTCTATTGAAAATGGAGTACTTGACACTTCAAAAATTGTCTGACATCAACTTTCTTAGTATCTCTTGGTATTGTTTTTTTTTTAGTTCATCAAGGTTGAAGACTGATATGTCGTTTGCGTTTGTAAGGAATGTTTTATTTAGATATATTTCTTTAAGTTTTTATGTAGATAGATAGATATTAGTATGGTACTTTGTAGATTAATACAGATTTTCTTATTTTTACGTACGGCAGTCAGAATTGGGAGCAGACGTAGGGGCAGGCGTGGGTGCAGGAGTAGGAGCAGGCGTCGGGGCATTGGTTGGAGCAGGTGTGTTCCCATCGACACAGACACCGGTTGTAGAGTCAGAAATCCATTGCAAATATTCTGACGAAAAAAAATATTTATTTGTTCATACGGACAAGGAATTTTGGAAAATGAACATATTAATAGCAAGAACATAAATTCTCACATTCTTTTCATATTTGGTGACAGACAAAAAATACTGTAATGCTTTCATTTATGAATACAGATGCATGTGTTAATGACTACAGCCCTAGACATGTATTAAAGATTCCAATCAGCACGGATGGCAAGAATGAATGTCATGTCCACTATAATATAAGTTCATTTATTGTATTTACACACTGATGGCTCTATGAGTGCTTATTCACCAACGAGTCAATTACTGCTGCCTATCTCTTTAATGTTACCAAGATTTTAATAACAATTTAATTATCAAAATATCAATAAGAATAATAACAGTATCAATATTAATACATATTTTCCCGCAGTTTTAAGGAATTGGGGAATTAGGAGTGATCACTAGGATCTACTGATACACTCCTTGTTGACTGAGTACATGTACATACAAATTCAGAGTACATAAATACGTAGTCAGTGGGTAGAGTGATTCCATCTTTGCTTAACTGACCCTTGACCAAGCACAAACTTTGTTTAGATTTGAAGGCACAATTGATCCCTATACACTATGTCTTTTAAATGACTTTGACTATTGTTCATAATGGAAGAGAAACAACATCGATGGTAGGGCAAACTGTCAGTCATAAACAGGTAACATGCTAGTGTAGCTCACAGGTAAAATATAGTTTTCTTTCATGGAAAGCTTGAGTTGAGTTGGGTTATTGAACTGTACAACTTGTTTCATTAGTAAACTACAATTTACTCACGTGTAACTCTTGCATAAACTCCGGGCCTATCAGGTCGAGCACAGCCATATCCCCACGACACAACTCCCACCAGCTTCCACTTGCCGTTTTCTTCCACCACCATTGGTCCACCAGAGTCTCCCTGTAACATCCAGATATATTGTGTAGAATATATCGAAACGAATGCCATGCATGCAGGCAAAACAAGTAGTATTTATATAGAAAGGGAGAATAAACATACCTGACAGGAGTCCTTGCCTCCCTCAGGAATGCCTGCGCAGATCATGTTGTCAGTGATGCTTCCTCCATACTTGTTATTGCATTCGGTGTTAGTCATGGTGGGCACTGTTACTTCGAACAAGGTACCGGATGTGGATCCTCCTGTTAAATGTATTGTATGAGAATGCGGGCAGTTTTTTTTTTTTTCTTTTCTTTTCTTTTCTTTTCTTTCTTTCTATAACATAATACAAAATATATACAAATATCGCGAATATCAGTACCCACCCTCCTGTTGGGCTCCCCATCCTGTGATTGTGGCATCCACATTATCATACATTTCACCAGCTGTTGGAAGGCACACAGGGGCGATTTTGTTGTCAGATGGGAACTGTATTTCTGTGGTGAGTCTGATGAGGGCAATGTCGTTGTCCAGTGTATTAGAATCATAGGACGGATGACTCACAATCTGTTCGGAAGGATGCATGTTTTTTTCACTAATTGTTTATATCACTTGTTTGGTACTTGTTTACTTTTGTATATATGTTTATAAAATATTTAGGAATGAATTCAATGATTTTGTTCTATGATGAAGTGGGGACATTTCACTTACTTCAGCAATCTGCATCCACTGAGAATTGGCATCACTTGATGAGTACAGGTTGTGGTCTCCCACCAACACATAATCCGAGGTGCTCATGCTGCAAAAATAATATTAAATGAAACATGCATGTGACTGTAAGAGTTTTATTATTATTATTATTACCAAGAGCTACTTACACAGCTGCACAGTGAGCTGCAGTGACGACCCATTGGCTGGAGATGATAGAACCGCCACAGAAGTGATAGTATCCATTGCCATTGACAAGAGAAACCATCCAGGGATATTCGTTCACCTCCGTCTCTACTCCACCAACAATGCGGTTGGCACGGTTCACTTGTCCACATCCAGCTGTGGATGTATAAGTGATTGTTTTTATAAAAAGAAACACAAAACCAGTTTCACAGAAGATAAGACAGCTTGAAAATAATAGAAAAATTGTCTGTCCATCAAACTCCCTTAGTGTCTAATGGGTTTTCTGCTAGTTCATCAATGCTGAAGACTGATATGTCGTTTGTATTTGTAAGGAATGCCTTCATGATGATATAATATTTGATTTCCTAGTGTTATGGTACTTAGTAGATTAATACAGATTTTTTTATCTTTACGTACGGCAGTCAGAACTGGGAGCAGATGTAGGGGCAGGCGTGGGTGCAGGAGTAGGAGCGGGCGTCGGGGCATTAGTAGGAGCAGGTGTGTTTCCATCAACACAGACACCGGTTGTAGAGTCAGAAATCCATTGCAAATATTCTGATGAAAAAAAAATGATTATTTGATCATACATGCAAGGAATGACGAAAAATATATCAACCTATTCCAAGCAAGAACACAAATTCTCACTTTCTTTTCATATGTGGTGTACAGACTAATTATAGAAAAATTAAAGTTATTGTCTGTAAGGCTTTCATTCATGTGTTTATGACTACAACCTTAGACATATATCAAAAATCTTTTAACAAAGTGATTCAATTTCTGCTTAACTGGCCCTTGACCAAGAACAGACTTTGTTTAAATTTGAAGGAACAGTTTGTCCCTATACACTGTTTTTTATAATTAACTATGATTGACTTACTGCTTCTGTGGTATCACAGAACTGTCACTCATGACATAAGAGAAACAACATTGATGGCATCGCAATATGTCAGTCATAAACAGCCAACACGCTACAAGATCCCTTCCAGGAAAAAACTGAAAAGCTTCAGTTGGGTATCTTTCACATGTAGGAGCCTTGATATACCTAGATACATATTTCATGAGAGTTTTTAATGAACTGCATGGCTTCAATAGCTAACCGCAATTTACTCACGTGTAACTCTGGCATAGACTCCGGGCCTATCAGGTCGAGCACAGCCATATCCCCACGATACAACTCCCACCAGTTTCCACTTGCCGTTTTCTTCCACCACCATTGGTCCTCCAGAGTCTCCCTGTAACATTCAGATATATTGTGTAGAATATATCGAAAGGAATGCTATGCATGCAGATAAAACAAGTAGTACTTATATTTTATAGAATAAACATACCTGACAGGAGTCCTTGCCTCCCTCAGGAATGCCTGCGCAGATCATGTTGTCAGTAATGCTTCCTCCATATTTGTTATTGCATTCGGTGTTAGTCATGGTGGGCACTGTTACTTCGAACAAGGTACCGGATGTGGATCCTCCTGTTAAATATATTGTATGAGTCAGTGCAGGTGGATTCTTGTTTGTTGTTCTATGATGATAAGCGAAAATAAAGAATATACCGCGAATATCAGTACCCACCCTCCTGTTGAGCTCCCCATCCGGTGATTGTGGCATCCACATTATCATACATTTCACCAGCTGTTGGAAGGCACACAGGGGCGATTTTGTTGTCAGATGGGAACTGTATTTCTGTGGTAAGTCTGATGAGGGCAATGTCGTTGTCCAGTGTATTTGAATCATAGGACGGATGACTCACAATCTGTTGGAAAGGATGCGTATTATAATAATCTATTTCACTTGTTTGGTATTTGTTTTCGTTTGTATACATATAGGTCTAGAAAATTATTTACAAATCAATCCACAAAACACAAAATCCGCTGATGGTTTTGTTCCATGATGAAGTGAGGACATTTCACTTACTTCAGCAATTTGCATCCACTGAGAATTGGCATCACTTGATGAGTACAGATTGTGGTCTCCCACCAACACATAATCCGAGGTGCTCATGCTGTAAAAATAAGAGGGCATTTTTAAATGGTTCATATGTGACAGTTAAGAAGACTGTTCATTTGTTCATTAATGGCTGCTTACATAGCTGCACAGTGAGCTGCAGTGACGACCCATTGACTGGAGATGATAGAACCGCCACAGAAGTGATAGTATCCATTGCCGTTGACAAGAGACACCATCCAGGGATATTCGTTCACCTCTGTCTCTACTCCACCAACAATGCGGTTGGCACGGTTCACTTGTCCACATCCAGCTGTGGATGTATAAACAATTGTCTTTATAAAAAGAAATCCACAAAACAAGTTTCACAGAAGATAAGTCAGCTTGAGAAAGGGTTACTGGACGCTTCAAAAATTGTCTGTCCCTCAAACTAACAAACCCTAGCTATGGGTCAGACGTTTCTATGTTATACTGTGGATTGTGAAACTCTTAACTCTGGCATGTATATATGACTATTGTTTTCCTTATTATAGTCCACCTAGGGATGTTTTCCATTGTTATCAGAGCAAACACTAGGTTTACTATTAACATTTCACAAAGGAAGTTATAACAATCTCTGTCCTAAATACAGAAAGGATGAATACATACTGCATTCCGAAGTTGGCTGAGGGTCTACAGTTGTTGTTTGGGAGTCTGGCACTGTACAGGATATTGCATAAGGAAGTCATTATGCGGAATTGGGAGATGTGCACATGAATCCATATTTCAAGACTTCTATGTTCCTCAGTTACTGGAAATATTAACTTTACCTGAAGCTCTGACAGAACAGGAAAATCCAGTATTAGATTTCTTCCTGTTTGTTTTGAACAAAACAGTAACTCTCCTAGATTTATCAGAAACGCTCAGAGAACCCTTGGCACCGCAGTATCTGCAATATGCACAGTGAAATAGTGGTCAATCTGCAAAATACCTCTTCCCTCTAGAATGTGCAGTTAATAGAAACATAATGCTATAGTTACGTGATGGTATTTACTTTTGTTTAAAACCAGAGGAATCCGTGACCCGGAAGAAATCCTTTTTGCATTGTCTCGACTGTTGCAGATTGAAATCGTCACACTGGATGCTCAACTTTGAATCAACAGAAGTCTGGGAAAATAATGTTTTAGATGAAGTCAAGCAGATTCATAAATCAAGCTGTATTTCTTATATCTATAAATATGCACATTGTTAGTGAAGAAATATTTGTGTGTATCACATAGAATTATTAAAATCAAGGTTAAATGTTAAGTTCTCACTTCAAGAACTTACGCGGAATTTCCATGTGCACCTCTTGCCACCAGGGTAGTTACTGGGGTAGTTCTTTGACTGGAATGTCTTGGAAGAACCCGGGGCTATGTAGTAAGATCCGCAATTTACTGCAGCTGGAACAAGTTAATATATATGTGCGTGTGCTGTACATGGACACATGTATGTGAACATGTTGCTTTCAGATGGTCAACAAAGTTTACAGAAAATAAATACCTCTATTTTCAAACTGTGGTGCCACTTCCATGCGCGGGCCAACACCACTGGAGTAGGTCTGAGCTTGATCTGGGTTCAGTGTCACCTGACGGGGACCAACACCACCACTAGGGTAGGTTTGAGCCTGATCTGGGTTCAGTGTCACCTGACGGGGACCAACACCACCACTGGGGTAGGTTTGAGCCTGATCTGGGTTCAGTGTCACCTGACGGGGACCAACACCACCACTGGGGTAGGTTTGAGCCTGATCTGGGTTCAGTGTCACCTGACGGGGACCAACACCACCACTGGGGTAGGTTTGAGCCTGATCTGGGTTCAGTGTCACCTGACGGGGACCAACACCACCACTGGGGTAGGTTTGAGCCTGATCTGGGTTCAGTGTCACTTGACGAAAACCGATAAACCT